ACGTGACCGTTGATTCCACATCTGGTTACACATATCTGTCTCCCCCAGTAATTGTCTTTAATAGACACAATTGGGGATGAGGTAGTTGTACTAAGAAGAGACATAGCTCTGTGTTTTAACAGGAAGCCATTATTTCTGAGCTTAATCATTGCTTGTTAGTCTTGTGATTTTTCTCCTCTCCCCCATACATGCACAAGCACACATGCTTTAAATGTGAAGGTCCCATTCATCTTGTAGTGACAGTGTGCCAGAGGTTCTTTGAATGGGCAGAGCCCTGGCCAGTGAACAGAGAACCAGACCATGTCCGAGTGGTTACCAGAAAGATGCTGGAGCTCACCGGTGTTAACGTGGGTGCTCAGAGCTGAGCAGCCAGGTTGTAGTAAAGATCCTGGAAGGACTGCAGTTTTGGTAAGTCTTTAGTAGACGTGGCTGCTCAGTGTTGCTGCAGAGGTACGTGGGGGCAGCCCAGCTCCTTCCCATAGATCATATGTGCCCATTTTGAAACTTTTAATCATAAACTTGTTATTCATAGTGTTCTGATTTAAACAGAAGTCAGACTCTGAGTCTCCAGCATGAATCCATATTTTCAGGTGAAGACCAGGGAATTTCATGCTGTGCCATCATGGAGTTTCAGTTACTTCTCTTGCTACATCATGTTCAAGTTTAACTTCTTTGACAACCCAGTCTCTTTGTCAACAAGGCCTGATGCCGAAATACCAAGCTCTTGGCTACAAGCCCTGCTTGCTTACAAACTGCTTAGTGCCACACGCTGGAGAGTTAACAAATCAATGGATCTGCTTGCAGAGAGAGTATTGCATAAGCATAGGCAGGGTTGAAAAAGAAAAACTCAGATTAATGCATGCATGCAGTTAGCCCACACTGCATCCACAAGGTCTAAGGGTGTCCTGGTCAGCTTCCCTCCTGACTTTGGAGGGAGTTCCAGAGTCCACACAGAGTCCAGATACACACCAGAGTGAAGGCTTTGTGAAGCCTTTGTGGAGACTTATAAAGAAGCTGCTGCATCTTGTTCATGGCTCTTGTAAAAATGTTTTCTCCTTTTCCAAGCAGGGCTATTTTCAGAAGTGGTAGAATCTATTGTTCCGCAGTTATTGTTCTGGGCTATTGTTGGCCCCATGTTATTAGTGTATTAGCCCCTTGGCTGCCAAACTGCTTGAAACAAACTACATGTGCTTATTTTTAGAATTGGGAAAGTTGTGGTGCTTTACAGCTTGATACGCTTGCGATTGCATCTGAGCTGAATGCAGAGCTAATCCTCTTCCCAGCTCCCGTCCAGGCGGGGGCTGTAGTCATGCATTCCCAGCAGAGGGGCTCTGCACACCATGGAGAGCAGCCAGCAGGTATTTGAGAGAGGAGATGAAGTCCTAAGACCTGACCTTCTCAGGTACAGAAGTACCTCCTGCCAAGGGAAGACTTGCCTGAAATGTGCCATATCCAGTTACCACCAAAGGGCTGCCAGTGGAAGTGGGTACGGGCTGCCAGCAGCTGAGCATATCCCATGGGATTGGGTTCTCTGTGTAAGAGCTCCTGCTGGGCAAAGGTGTTGTGTGAAAGTCTTGCCCTGTTCTCATGGAAATTAAGAGGCGCTGCACATGAGTACCAGCGGGGGCAAGAGGCAACATGTATGAGGCTGCTGAAAGCAGCAACTGGAACAGTTGGTCAGGAGATCACTAAGCAGGATGCCATCAGCTTAATTAGGAAGAAACTTCTCTCACGTGCTCTCACCATACGCATAGGCACATCACTTGCTATGAATGTGTTGTGTTCAGCATTGGTCTGTGGTGTTCTGAGCAGCTCTTTGATACAGATAAAGGGCAAAAACTGTTAAAAAAGAATGAGTAGAAGAGGTTGGTGAATGTGATGTGCGTCTGTGTAACAGTCCCTTAATTTCTAACAGCTGAGGCCTTTCCTCATTCAACCCAAGTGATTTAATGTGGAAATCTTAATTTCTGTCAGTACTCAATGGGCATCATCCCTGCAGAACATGTTATTATGTGTCACCATTCGTTTCTGTACCTTCCATCATCTTATTTCCAAACTGCTCATACAACTTCTTTCCTTTTTCAGACTTTTTTGCCCATGGCCCATGATTCACTTTGCATTCTGCTATAGGTTTTAAACACCATGTTCCTTGGCTCTAAATATGCATCAGGCTTCCAGCCAAGGAACATGTTTTGTGTAGAGGATGCTTCGCAGGGGTGATTGAGAGCAGTTACTTGACCAATCAAGTACAAGTTCTCTCTGCTCTGCTCTGTCCACACAAGACAGGTAGAGTCCTTTGCCACATCCACAGTGATGCTGGTATCATAAAGCTCTGAACATGCAAAATCTTCTAGTACAACCTGCATACACGTGGCTGTTTTATGTGTCTTCTGTATAGTCGCAGGGCAAAAATCCAGTGTAGACAGCAGAGATGTGCATGTGTTCTGTTGAACCCAGATATTTAAAAGATGAGTCCTCTGGATTCTGGCTTTGTTTTTGTTAGCTTTAGCTCTTGATGCCCAGTTTGGAGCTGCTTGATTAGCTGAGGTTTTCCTACTGGGTACAAAAGGTATGACTGAGACATTCCAGTGTGTTGGTAATCCCATCCTATCCTGTAAGTTCACCATAGTCTGCATCTCTTATGGGCCTGCTGCTCAGCTCCCTGGAGCTGTGTTCCTGCTGCGATCATCAGTGAACATCACCTTGATTGCCAACATCTTGCAGGAACAGGGAGTGATGTCCCCTATCTTTGTAGGACAAAACCTTGAAGCCAGTCCTTATATTTCTGATGGCTTCAGCATGCTGTTCGATGGGTCATTACTTTGTACCACACTGGAGTAACCTGTGCAGGGTATGGACATGCAAGGAGCTGAAGCTCAATGTGGTGTGTCTGTGTGTGTGTGCTCTGTCCCCTTTTTTGTAGCAAAGATTAAAGGAAGGTGCGATTAGTGTCCAGCCCCTGTGACCTGTGGGCAGGGCCCATGCATGCTGGTTTGGTACCCAGAGCACATTAAAAGCTTCATTCCAAAATGTCCAGGTGTGGTTGTGCAGAGGAATAATGCCAGACCAAAAAGCAGGAAGAAGGAAAATCCTCTTGTAGTATTTTCTCAAAGCACTTTTTAAACTGAGCATATGTATGAATGAATGGGTCTGCACAAAACCTCTATAGATTGTGTACCCTGGATTGCTGTACTTTGCGCTTGGGATTTCTCAGTCCTACAGACATTTCTCCCAGTCTCACTGGATGTGTAAATGAAAATAGGGAGGACGCGGAGGGGAGAGCGTGTCCTCTGACATCCCTGTGACAGGGACAAGGGCTCTACACGGCTACTCGGAGGCATGCAGGAGGGTGGACAGAAAGAGCTGCATACAGGGGATGTCTCGAGAGATGAGGAGCGGGTCAGGGCTGCGGGGCGTGCGGAGGGGATGCCGCCGCCACTGGGTGGTGTCCGGGGTGATGAATGGCTGGATGCGCGGGGCTTGCAGCGCGGCCGAGGGTACCCGGCGCTCGGACCGCCGCACGGGGAGCCCGGCCCGGGCAGCTCCGCAGCCGCAGCTCCTTCGGCGGCTCCATCCGGCCCCGCTGCCCCGGGCACCCCCGGCCCGGTGCGGTCCCCGCCCGGCGCCAGCGGCGATGAGCGGCCGCCAGGGGGCGCCGTCCGCCCTCGGTGTCCGCGGGGCGCGCGGGCCGGCACGGCGGGGCTGCCCCGGCGGAGGCGCCGGCGGGAGGAGCGCGGGGAAGGGCGGGCGGCGGCGGGACGGCGGCGGGGGCCGCGGAGCGCATTTCCTGCGCGGTGCGGGGCCGGCGGCAGCGGCGGGGAGGGCCGGGGGCGGGGGGGGGCAGCCTGGGAGAGCCTCCAAAGCCGAGCGGAGCCGGGGCTGCGGCGGGAGCTGCCCGGCGCAGGGGTGGGGACTGGCCGCTTCCTTAAACGGCGCGGGAGCGGCGGAGCCGGCCCGCACCGCCCTGGTGCGCTGGGCCGCGCCGACCCTCCCGGGCCGCGGCCGCAACACGTGGAGCAAACTTTCGAGGGATGCGTGCCTGCCGCCGGACAGAAACTCCGCCGCTCCGGGACTGCGCCCCACGCTGCTGCGAGCAGCTCGACTCTGCCGGTTTGAGGGCGCCGGGGGTGGGGGCGGCTGCGTTTTGGGGCTGGTTTTGTTTTTATTTTCTTCATTTTTTCTTCTTCTTTTTTTTTTTTTTTTTTCCTTTTCCCCTTGATTTCTGCCTTTGGGGGCTCAGGGCTTTTTTCCTCTGTTCCTACTTCTCTGTCGGTCGAGACTTTAGAAGCTCGCTGGGCGAAGGCAGCGTTGGAAAAGCCGAGAGAAACGTTGCCATGTCCCTTGTGGCGGCGGGTTTGGTTTTTTGCCTTTTTCCTCTATTTTTTAATTGTGTCTTTGGCAAAGGCAAAGAGAAAGGGTGGAAAAAGTCTCAGAATGGTCGGTGCCTGTTTCAGTACCCGGCTGGGCTGCGGGGACCAGGAGCGGGGACCGCGGTCGCCCGCTGCTTCTCCCCACTCGGTGATAGCTTAACCCGGGTCCTTCCGTGCGGGGTCGCGGGGACCTGCGGGCCCGGGCAGGGTGGCGGCCGCAGGCCCCCCCCCCCGAGCCCTCTTCCCGTGCTCCCTCCTCCATCGGAGCAGGTAACGGAGGGGCCGTTCGAACCGTTCGGGGTGTTTTCGCTTCCCCTTCCCCGCGTACGAAGTTCCCGCAGGAGCGGGCTCGGGCTCGGCGGTGCCGAGTCACGATGCGCGTCGGGGCCCGGCCCCGGGGGCTGCGGGCCCGGCCCGAGGTGTGGGACTGGCTCCGGGACCCCTCGCAAGTTCGGGAAGGGGCGGCGCTGGCCGCTGTCCCCCGGCCGGGGCTGTGGCTGCTGCCCAGGGGGTGATCCCGGTGCGGGGGGCTCGGCGCTGGCAGCGGGCACCGGCCGGAGCGAGGAGTTCGATTCAATGCAGTAATGAGAAATCGCAGCCCGCGCCTGATGGGCGAGCTGAGGGCTGGGTCTTTGCGGGCGAGATGAGAGGTTCGTGTCTTCAACTGGCCTACAAAGTCCCAGTTCTCGGCTCCCAGGACCTGCCGGGTTCGCAGCGGGCGAAGATGGAGCGCGGCGGCGCTGCTGCCCGGAGCCGCGGGGATCCGGCCCAGCCCGGCGCGGGCATCGCTCGCTCGGGCCGTGCCGCCGTGCCCGGAGCCGCCGCTTTCCTGGCGCTGGGGCGGGTGGGTGCCGTAGGGACCGGACGGAGCTGGCGCTCCGCGAGCCGTGAGTGCGATTCGACTTCTTCCACCTCCAAAAGGGCCTGAACCGGGCGCGTCTGACCCGTGCCTGCGGCTCCACTCCGGGCCCCGACGTGCCGGGCTCGGGGGACCCTGTGCCCGGGCCCGGCCTTGGCAGGGAGCGAGCGCCCGGTTTCGCTCCCTCAAGGCCATGTGCGTCCTTCTCACCCCTTTCGCTTTCAGAAAACATGCGTGGTTTTTCTTACCTTTTCAAACAATTATTATTAACAACTCAAGTCACGTAAGAAGCGGTTTGGCACCCGGTAATTCTCATCCTCTTCACTCAAGTGCTTTTACTGCCCTTCCTACCGATGTACCTTACCGTTTGTCTTTGATTTCGATTCGGCACACTGCACTGCTGGAGACACTGGTCTGTGCCCCTTTGGGCACAGTGTATGTGCAACTCTGGATACAACTCTTTTACTTATATAGTATCGTATTTATAACTTCTGTGCCCCTCTGTGTTATGTTACATTTTAAGTTCTTGGATTAGAATTATTTTGAGGATCCTCACAATTCTTTTGATTTATGTAGAGCCGTTTCTACTTCTGTCTTGTGAAGTCGATGGTGCTGGCCTGGAACAAGGGAAAAGGCCAAGTGGCCACAGTGTTCTGCTGGCTGAGCTCTATACAAGCAAATGGAAAATTAAAATCTTCGGGGGGGGGGCGATTTATGCCACTTAGAATTTCATTCTCTCCCTTGTGGAGCATTGCAGGGCTCTGCGTTCTGCACGTGTGTACACAGGGATTTACACACTCGGTGCAACTTTCATGCTCTGATCTCGGGGGATTTTTGCAAACCAACCGTTTTCAGTGCTGTAATCTGTAGCATTTGCCTGTAAAAACAGCAATATCGGTGTTTCAGCTAGGAGAGAATTGCACGCAGTACTGCAGCCCTCTGTGGGGTTTTCTTCAGCCCTTTGTATCCAGGCACTTGTGCACAGCATACTGAAATGTACATTACCAGCTATTCCTCTGATGTGTGCTGGGGCACACAGGCTGTGCCCGTGTGCAGCGCCTGCGCTGCCTGGCTCTGGGACAGCAGGCGCACTCAGGTTTGCTTGGGCCTGTTCTCTTTATAAACCTGTTTGTAAGAACTAGATGGGAGCTTCCTTAGAAACCCACATTTAAAGGAAAGTTGGTGCCTGTTTGTTTCCCCCGTGTGCCCATTGTCCCACAGAACTGTCTGGTGGCCACGCGAAGGGAAGGTATGTGAGAGTAAGGAGTAAAGGCAAAACTTGTGTTGCCTTTGAGGCGAGGCAGCCGTTCGGGACCGTGCTGCTGCCTGTTTGCAGCCCTCTTCTCCCTGCAGATCTGTGGCTCTGAACGAAATTAATCTGCAGTGAAATCACAGAAATGTGATTCTAATCATCTGCCTGGAACGAGACGGAGCTGCGAGAAGATGAGCAGAGGGTAAAAATACTTGAGGCACGCAGGGCCCTATCATTAACATTAAAACCCGATGGTGTGAAAGGGGGGACAGGGGTAGGTTTCTGTGCCTCTTTAGCATGAGCCTTCCAGCTTCTTGTAGAGCTCCTGAGGTATCTCTGGCGAGCAGCGGATTGTGCCGAGGTTGGTTGTGGTGCTCGTCAGGCTCTTGGGTTAGCCGGTAGGCTAAGCTGGAGTTTTCTCTTCCATAGATCTTAATTGTGGTTTGCCTGGTGGAGCTGAGTGCAGGCTGCGTTTGGCTCCTGTCAGGTCGAACATAATCTGGACGGTTTTTTCCCAGCAATAATTGGTTTCTTCCTGCCTTTAAGTAACTCTGGCAAGTTTCTGCCCCCCAAAAATCTAACTTGCTGTGCTGCCTCGCACAGCTACAGCTCCTGTCTTGATTCGAGTGCATCACTCGGGATTCAGTCGAAACCTGGCTTCCCTGGGGAGAGAGCGCTCAGCGTTTTGTGGTCATCAGGACTTGTTAAACGTGTACACTTGAGCTTCCAGCTCCCCAGTCATTTTTAGGAGTTGTTTTTCTTAATGGCATTTGCCATGAGGGAAAGGATACAAATTTCCAAGCAACATTTATGTGTTTGCACTAGCTGGATACAGTTCATAGCTGCTGGAATTGACAGGCTTTCTGATAGGAGGAATGTACTTTGTTTTCTCCATTCACCTACATTACTAGTGAATATTTAGATGGTTGCCCCATGCACTGCATTGATGGGCGCCTTCCCACTTCTGCTGGTGCCCCAAAGAACCGTAGCATCATAGAACAGAACATCCAGTGCAGTGCAGATGTGTTTCCCAGCATCTGTTTTACACTGTTGAGTTTAAACATTCTCTCTGAATTCCAGCTCAGGCTGGAAGGGCACATTCCCTCATGCCCCTGATGACTTTTTTGGGGGGTCAGATTACAAAGTAAAACTACTTTGTTTTATTTTGAACTAATATTGCTCTGCAGGCTGGTTTGGGGGCAGGCAATGGTTTAGCACTTGGCAAATGCTGCTAAAGAAGAGGGTTCAAGCTTTTGCTGCGAGTTGTGGAAAGCTGTTAAATTACTGTTTTAGCTCTGAAGGTTTCCTAATGTCCTTTGCTCTCTCAGATGCAGACTCAGTTATTCCTTCCCCCCCCCCCCCCAAGTTAATAATGGGGCTTTGTTTTATTTTCACTTCTAAACTTTATGCCTCTTGCTAATCTTCCTGTGTGTACAAATATGCTTTCTTCATCAGTCAGACTTGGCAATGCTTAGGCCACACTGAGCTAGTTCTGGGCAGTACAGCAAGGCTCTCTGTTTATCAGTGCCTTTCTGGGGCAGTTTATTACACTGTGGCAGTGACATTTGCAGCCTCCTGAAAGAGCTGGTAAATATTTGGCAGGTTCTGCTCCTTCAACAACAAAAAAAAAGGCTGTATTTTATCGGTGATAAGGCCTGAAAGAAAACGCTCTGGGCATGAAGGGCTCGAGCTGTTGGGCAGAAGGGTGGGGTTTGTGCAGGATATTCTTTGAATTGCCCAGAGTGAAGTCAAATGTTTGCCTGCAATTTAGGAACCGCTGTTCCTCTGTGTTTGCAGAGCGAGACCTTCAAGCCAGGGTTGTATTTTATATTGCAGGAGGGCACAGAGCACAGTGGCTGGGTTACAGGCCCATGTAATGAGGGGCAGGTTAGACTGAGACCCTGCTTGTGTCAGCTCTGTTGTTCATAGACACCTTTCACGGGAGCCTGGACATGTGTGTGGTGGAGCCATGCACTCCTAGTGAGGCCTCAATTCCCTAAGAGTGAAACATCCAGCATCCCCCTGCTGGGACACTTTCCTCACCATTCCTGGGCCCATCTCTCATTCCTGGCCCAGCTCTCGCTGCAGGCCAGCTCTTAAACACACCCAGGCAAACCAGGCATGGAGGAGAATGTGCTTTTCCTTTCCCACTGTGGGCCTGCTTGAGGAAATCCTTCCAGCTCCTGCTGATTTTGTCACTTCCCTTCCTGAGGACCCAGAAGTGGTGGCTCCCAGAGGGGAGAGGAGGAGGGCTGGGGCACCTACAGGAGGCTGCAGGGTGGCTTCTGCCGGCCTCTCTGAGGCCTCAGCCCCTTCCTGCAGGTCACTGACATCCCCGTAAAATGAGACAGACTGGTGGTATCTGCGTGGCTTTCCCAAGGCACAGTCCTGTCCCCTGTGCCAGGTACAAGCTTTGCTTAGTAAGGCAGAAATCCCTTAGCAGAGGGATTTCTGCTTTCTGCTTGGGTTCATGTGCTTTGGGGAAGCAACTGAGAAAGGGGTGTGTGTGCATGTGGTGGTACCAACAGCAGGATTACAACTGCCAGGATCCCAAGGAGGGGAGTGTCTGATGCTGGGGTAGGAAACCCTTCCTTGCTAAGGGCAGAATCGGTCTTTTATATCCCGTCACCAGCCTGTGCATTCACACAAACCTTAGTGTGAGCCAGCAACAGTGTGGAAAAGAAATCATGTGGCTGCAGACTGAAGGAAGTGAGCCAGGGTGATGCTGGTCTGGAGGCAGCTTCCTCTTCCCTGCCTGATGGACTGCGGATTCAGGGCCTATTTCTTTAGCACTCAATAACCAAGTATTTCCAAGGCATTGCTTGGTGGATGTGATTTTGTGTGGATTTTACTTGGATCTTAGTGCCCTATTGGTTTAGCAGGGTTAGGCTGTCAGGTTTTTCCCTTTTGTGGCAGCAGGCAATGGGCCTTTGTTTTTCCTCTCCTTTGGCAGAAATTCCTTCACGGTGTCCTGAACGCCCATGTGGGTGGATGATGTGCCCACATTCCATGGCATCATGCAGGACCTCAGTCTTTTCCCAATACTGATTTGTTAGTGACACCATTTATAGATCCAGGCCTGGACTCTGGAATCCGAGGTTGTGCCTGCTACTGTTGACATTCATTAGGACTATTCTAATTACAAAGCATCCCATCTGAGCACAGCTTTAGAGCCTTGCTCTGCCAGTTGCAGTGCCGATGGCAGCCCATGAGGAGTGCACTCTGCTTCGGGTGTTACGTTAAGGAGTGAATGTTATCCCAAACTGTCTGATCTGATGGAAGGGTCAGTCCTGTTCCCCAGAGGTAGGGCAGGAATTCTTCCCATCCTTTTCCCGGTGACCTCTTGATCAAATGGAATCGTGACATTCCAGTGCTTACAGCTGGTCTGAATCTCTAGGAATGCCCTCATTTTTCAGATCCAAGTATGGAATTTCCTCACACAGTAAAATTTGAAAGCGGATTTCACTCAGTGAGATGGCTTTGTGTGATTGAGAGCTTTTAAAATATGGTGAGGAATACCATTTAAAACACTCTGATTTAATTCAGTCAGCACCCTGTAGGAACTGACATACAAGTGGCCCAGAGGGCTGCTAAAATTAGTCATGGTGTTATGTTTTGGGGAAGAAAACCCCTCTCTGGAAGGCGCTCTGCTGTTACACAGAGAACAGGGCTTTTGAGCGCGATGCTGTCAACAGGGTTAAATTCAAGTATGCAAGTGCTGCAGTTGAAGGAATGAATTCCAGAAGCTGTGTACTGCTCAGCTTCGTTGCAGAGCGATGCTCAGGTTGGGATAGGCAGAACTGCTGCGTGCTGAAACATCTGGAAAAATATCCCATTTCCCCAAAGCGGAATTCTCTTGAAGCGCAGCAGCGATCGCTGATACTCGAGCAGGAGGAGCCAACAGCAACCTACCAGGGCTGGAAAATGAATCAAGAGTTTACAGAGTGAAACTGTGTCAGGAACCAGGACTTTGATTAGGATCTCTCATTTAAAGCAGCAGCTAATTCGGAGAACTGGGACTTTCCAGGCTGCAGGGATTGGTGGGACAGTTTCTGCCGGGCCCAGGAGCTCGGCTCCTTGGCGCTTGGCTTTTGAGTCTTCCGATGAATTCCAGTGAAACAAGTCGTGGCAAACTGATCTGGAGCTTGGGAGCCAGAACATGCATGAAAAATCTTGTATGAAAAGAGAGATTGTTTCCTAAAGAAGAATTTGAATGTAGTTCTGTTAAAATATGCCCCATTTCAAACTGTAAAGGCCGTTTGGATAGTTTATGAAAGAGAAAAGTTTCCTCGGTTCCAGCATGACGGGTGCTTTTTACACACCATAAAAGTAGTCCTGAAGTCTCAGCTGCATTTAAAATGTTTCCTATTACAAAATCTGCTTTGACTACAAAGATATTTTGGATAATTGTGACTTCATCTGTTCAGTTTGAAGGAAATACTTCTGGAGGAGGGCAGCATTCCATGCAAATACAACAGTTGTACAGAACAAGAAACAGGAAGGGGCATAATAAACAAGAGAGCTTTGGCCCATTTTAATTTACCTTGGACCATAAACCCAGATAATGTAATTTGTGAAAAAAATGTAGATATTTCAGCATCCTTTCTTTTCCAGTGCTGTGCATTATTCAGCAGCACAGTTAATGGTGTTTTATAACGAGCTTTCAGTACATTAAGAGTGTGTGTTTCACGTGAACTATCACACACACCCCAAAACCAGCTTAATTTACATTTTAAAACCAAATGATATTGTTTTAAACGACTGCATGAACAACAAAATTCAGCTGAGTAACATAAGCTGAATTCCTTAAATCTGAGTTAATAAAGAGCTTTCACAACCTCATCCAAACCAGACTGTAGCAAAGGAGCAGAACTTCACTGAGTCATTTCACAGTATTTGTTAGCTGCGACTCAAAGTGCTACACTGAGATTAGAATTACTCCAAGCCCCAGCCTAAATTTAGCTCTGGGATTCACATACTGCACTCACTTCACTGGAAGAGTTTGGTTTGCTTGTAGCATATTTGAGCTAGCTTTGCATCTCCCTGGGGAATAAATTACAGCCTGAATGAGAACATTCACACACATTTATGACATTAATGCCGTGTGCAGTCGGAGGTTCTGCAGGCATTCAGCCTTTAAACTAACACTGTCTCTACCTTCCTGCCAGGGCTTTATTTGATGTCTGTATCGATGGCCATTAAGGGCAGTGAGACACAATGAAACAACATCTTCCTCATGGTGTTTCTTTGCAGACATCTTTGCAAACACAGTAACAAGCTCCTCACTTTACAATTTCCACTGAAGTGAACTCTTCCTCTGCTCCCAGCCCAGCCCCATGTGAGTAACTGCACTTGTGTAGAGTTGTTTCACATGCCCCAAATAAAAACGTAATAAATCCAGAGTAAGGAAAACGCTTATGAGCCAGTTTAAGGTGTTATGTAATACTGGTTATATAAAGTTTTGGATGTCTCTATACTTTTAAGAGATTCTTGCCTTCACAAAGAACACAAACTGCACTTTAATTTCAAAACATCTGATATGAATTTAATCTTAGAGTATAAACTGGGCTTGTAGATTGTCTGCATCAGGGAGTGAATTTACAGCTCTCCAAAGAAACAGCAGGTGTGCCTGTTGCTAAATAAAACAGCTCCTGTAAGCCAGTGGAGATATCCCTATCTGCACCAGCTCAGGATTTGTCCTGAACTCCCATTTTGGGGACTGGTGATGGTTTTGGATGAACAGCCATAAGCACATCTATTATTTTAGAGCAATACATTGAGAAACACGTGGAATTCTGCGGCTTTCAATCCTTTTCTAACTTCGAAGTGTGTTTTCCAAGTGGCAATATTTCGTAACTAGCTTGCTAGCAGTGTTACATTAATGCTGGATGATGGTCAGTTGTTCGCAGGCGGCAAGCACAGGTTTAAGTGCTTAAAAATGTATCTAATGAGGCCATTGCAAAGCGCAGTAGTTGTGCTGTAAGTTGGTGTTGACTGCAATGGAGTTGCACTGGTTTATTCCCCTGAAGGCCTGACCTGACGGGCTCCCAAAATCAGCAGTGTTTCTTTAGGGACCCTGCTTGTGCAGGGATTCCATCAGAGTTCCTGTGCCTCTTTCATGCGGCCTGTGCAGGAGATGAACGGGATTGATGTGACTGAGATCTTCCTCTCCCCTCTGCTTTCCCCTCTGAGTTAATCCATACCTGGAAGAAAACAGGTTAGTGCAGGTGTGAAAAGGTAGTACATCCCGATACAGCTTCCAGAAATCATCACCCACAAGCATAATTTCCACAGCAACTAAAATATGGCCAAATATATTTTTCCCCTTAAATGAAATTTGCTACAGCTTCGCTATTCCATGGCTTTGAACGTAACAGCAGTGCTGAGCTGTGCTGGGGTTACCTGGCAGCCAGGAAGGTGAAGAGCTGAAAGGAACAGTGAAACTGAGTACACTGATGGTGGTGGCAGCCCTGAAGTCAAGTGAACAAGAGTACCAGGGAGTGGACAGAAAAGGGTTTCCACACTCTGCACACTCCTGCCAGCCAGTCCTGCTGCTTACGGTCTGTGATGTCTGCAGTCTGTCAGACCAAAGGAAAGTGACCTGCATATGCTCACAGAAAAGTACTCTGATGAACCAAAACCTTACTCACCACAGCAAGGGTAGGAGCAAAGCCTCTTGTTCATTAACAGCACTTTCAGAGAGATTTCCCCCTTTCCCAATAATTTCTTGTGCAACCTATGCAGTATTGAATTGCAGTCACAAACCTGGACATTGGTAGAGCTTTAACTGACACCACCTCATTCTAATTAAAGTGTGTCATTAAGAGCACCTGGCAAAATGATTACTAAATCATCTACAATGGAGCTCAGTTAACTCCATCAGCTTAAAGTGGGTCCTTGGTCTGGGTTCCCTCTCAAGGCAGAGGGAAGGAGAGATGGCTCCAGGGTCAGACCCATGAGGGTGGGAGGCAGCACCCTCTGAGGTACAGCTCTCATCATGCTCATCAGAGGGAGTTTGAACAATCAGCTTTTAGTTAATTTATTACATTCAGCAAATGAGGGGGGTGCTCCTGTGACTTTTACTGCTATAGGGAGCTTTTGGGTCTACAAGGTTGGACCCAAAACCAGTGGCTTTCCCAGTGGTTCCAGAACCTGTATCTGGCAATCTGCTCCCTTTAGAAAAACACTTCAGGAGTTACCACTGTGAAGTAATACTGACAGGAGAGAAAAAGGCACGGAAACCCTCCCAAACCTGGAGCATGAATGCTGGGCTCCTGCTAATATAGACTGCATTTTTCTGTAGGGTATTTTACTGCATTTTATAAAAAAGCAAGCATATAAACTTAGAGCAAAAGACCAACATCTTAAGCACTGACATAGTTTAAAAGCTCAAGGTCCCCATATTAGTTCTGTGAGAAGCATGAAGGCATCTGGACTTAGCCAACCTCTCTATGGTGACTGTGCTTTTACCTCTTCTCTGGTGTGTCCTGGTATCCAAAATGGGTGCTTTTCATCAATGTACTGGATACAAACAGCATGTGATGGGATTAGGTGGGAGGTGCAGCCAAAACATTTATCAGTCATTGTATCTGTTTTCTTCCTCAAAGGCGGCTTCCTTCAGAGACATGCGCCTCCTCCTGTAATCACACCCTGGGCACCCTCACTTGGTTGCTGACAGTTGCTTTGCACATGCTTTGCTCTAACTGAAGGCTCTTGGCTTGTCAATAGTCAGTGATTCCAGTGGGTGAGCTTGGCCATGGGTGTTCCCTGATGGCGATGCTCAGGCTGGCAGTGCCTGTGGGTCACACGCCTGCTCTTGGCCCGACCATCCAGGTCCCCGAGCAGGGAGCTCCTCAGTCATCAGAGGCAGTTGTGTGTTAAAACAAGAAGCGGAGCTTTCAGGTCCCAGCCTCCTCCGCTCGCTCCTCCCTGGGCCATGGATGCAGTCTGGCCTTCCTGAAATTATTATAAACTGGGAATAAGCCATTGCTGGAAAGGTGGAAAAGCGCAGTGAAAAAATGCCCGGATCATGCACACTGGCTAATGAAATGTGAATTTTCGTGACCACCCATAGCTGATGCACATTTCATGCTTGAGTGCTTCCGTGTGATGAGTCCACTGCTAGCAGCAGCAGCAGTTTTAATAACATGCTTCATATTTTTGTTAGGACTTTGTGCATTTCTCAGACATAAGGGACCTAATCCCAAAGTGTGCAAATGAAGTTCTTGCCTGAAGCCATACTCAGACAAAGTGAAAATTAAGCCCAAAGCTTTTTAAAAGCTTCTGAATGATAATAAATAGCTGATGTTTTAATGCTAATGTATTCCTATAATTTACACACTATATTAATACCCATTATCAGTTTTGGTGTGAAATATGGGAAGACTAGGTACAGAAGTTGTGATTAAAAAGTCAGAAACCAAACTTTGGGTGAATCCTTTGGAGCGTGTGAGCACAGGAGTAGTCTTATATTCTTTGTACTTCCTGAACCTCAAAGAATTGGAAAATGAGGAGCATCAGAACACCTGATAGATCTACTTAAAGCTTCAGGTCAGTAACATGCTTAAGCACATGCTTAACTTGGAGCATATGATTAATCACATCCCTGGTCCATGGAGTAATTAAACATGTGCCTATGTACTTTGTACAGCGCTGTACCAGCCTGCAGGCGTTCTCTAAATACTGGTGTGCCTGAGAAAGTGGTGAATCAGAAAGTGATTTTTGGCTGGAGTTTGGAAATGAGCTTAGAAGAGTTTGTTAGGCACCCAGGACTCGTTAGATTTGAACAGCTATGGAAAAGCTGGTCTTGTTAGCAGAACTGCGTAAGGAGCAAGGTGTGGCCATTTACCTTATGGGAATGCTGTAGGTTTGTCTGAAGTGAAATGATTTTAAAATCCCTTTGCTTGGCAATTTCCTGCTGCTCTCCTGTAACTGCTTCCCTCTGTGCCGGACAGACCAGATTCTGTCCCAGGAAAGCCCAAGCCGGGCAGCTTGCGGCTGGCAGCTTCTCTCCTAAGTCGCTGGTGGAAGTTTAGGTACGTGCAGAACTGGAGGCAGCAGTGGTGGGTTGATGCCAGCAGCACGGCTGCTGCTTTTCCTGTCTTGGGATCGGTCTGGGCACAGCGCTGCGGTAACGCACTCCTCGGGACTGCTGGTCCCTGTGCGCTGCTGCTCCCCATCCCTGCACCTACCAACTGCTCCCCTCTCTCCAGCCCTCTGTGCTGGGGGCCATACCCTTGGGCTAAGCTGCAGTAGCAAACTCACCAGGTGATGGTGGGTTCCTGGGCAGAACTGGTCTCGGGCTCTTCCTGGCTATGGTCTGAAAGTCAGCATGAGCAGGAGACCATTATCAATAGGCTGTTTGGGTGCAAGCCCCATTCTTTTAGTGGCTAAGAGACTTTTAATAGGGCAGCTGTGGCCAGACAGCCTGGTTGGCCATGCCATGGTTCATTTACTAGGAGCCATGTAACCTCTTCCAGGCACAGCCCCTCCCCTGGTGTTTTTCTCCTGGTGTTCTCCCTTCCTTGTGCCAACCAGGTTACTGTTAGCTGTCACACCAGCCAGCTCCCTTCTGGGTTGCTCTGGGGGTGTTTTCCCAACGTGCTTGTCTGGCTGTGTGATTTGACCAGGCAGCGCTGCCATCCTCCTCACTGCCAGCCTGAGCCAGGGAATGGTCTCTTGCCACTCGAGATGGGTGAGATGTGGCAGCCTCTAGAAGACTTTTTAATGACTAATTGTTTTATTTTATATACTTAAAGTCAGTTAGCTGCTTTGATTTCCTTGTTCTCCAAGGCCTCTGCATATAAATGCTACTGAGGTCACCATAATGAGGCAAGTCAGTGTAGCATCAAATGTTACTACTCCAACTATTAAGCTGCTATTAGCTCTCTGAATGGTGGGAGGCTCGTTTTCAAAGCAGCCTCGGTGGAAAGTCTACATAATGTGTTTGCTTATAAAACTTTGTAATTTTCAAAGGGACCCAGTCAAGATGAACAGGACCTGAATGTACCATCTCCTAAAAATAACCCTGTCTTACCAGCTCCTCTGCTGATGCTGGGGGAGGGAGGGACACGAAGTGATGCTCTCAGCTGAGCACTGCAAACAAGTGGAAATGTAAAGCCAGGAACTGCTGTTCTTCCCAACCTGTTCGTGGCTGATGGCATCTCCCAAACGCTTGGTGCAGCTGTGCTATGGCGCAGTGTCTCTTGTGGGCAGGATGGCTGGGATGGATCCTGACAGTCATGGATTTGTTCTCCTGTACTTCACAGTTAATACTTTCTTAGGGACCTCTCTCTCCTGTAATTTTCAAGATGGTGATCAGCCCGATCTTGGTTTTGAGAGAAAGAAACTGAAACAAGCTTCTTTAAGAAGGCAACCCCCATGGAAGTGGTCTCTGGAAGCCGCCTTTGCCACCATTTCTCCACAGCAGCTCATTAATTTCAGGGCCACACTGGTATCAGTTATTGTCTTGCCATGATGTCCTGGAGTCAGCTGCAGCGCTGGGAAGTGTACAGTGCAGAGTCCATAGAGCTGTGGTGTGGTTTTGGCTGCTCTGAAGGCAGCCCTTCATCTTTTTCAAGCTACCAAGAGCAAACACTGCTGCCATCTAAAACCAGAGGCTGAAGCTCTTGTCCGGGCAGAGCTGGATGGCAGCTGCTGTTAAATGTGCCAGAGTTTCTCCTGTGAGTGGGTGTTATTCATTTGGTAATACCAGTCCATTCCAGCCGAGGATCCATCCCTTTGTTTTGTGTACAGGACAATTTGTTTTCAATTTTTGTTTCTGAAAGGAAACTGTCAAGACAAAATTCACACTTAAAAAAACGAAGGGAAGCAGCCTTTGTCTGTTTCTAACAATCCGCTTCCATGACTAAAGCTGGAAGAATTCTAGAAACTGCAGTCATTTTCTACCTTCAGTTTTGTGCTGTTCTTGCATTTTCTGAGTTTCAAATTCAAGGCACCAAAAGACTTCAATCCCGAATCGCCTGAATAACATTGGTGTAAACTTAAGAGACAGATCTGTGCTCTGATGATTAAAACCTGGTTGTGCTTTATCTAGCAGTGGAGCTGGGGCAGCAGGGAGCTGAGAGCAGCTTGGGCAGGAATCCTGTCTTGTAGCACCCGCAGTCTGAGAAGGAACACATAGAACATATAAAGCCTCCATGAAGGGGATTCCCTGGAGCAGCACATTCCCGTCCTTGCTGGGTTTGCTAAGGACACGATGCCAGTAAAATAAAATCGGGGTGAAATACCCTCCCCAGGCTGACACCTGCAGCGACTCTGATTACCTGCTTTGCTGTACGCTGGGTGTGCTCTGTCTGCTGCGGTGGGGTCTGGAGCTTGTGGTCTCCTTGGGGCGTTGGTATAACAGCAAGTGCTGAGGGGATCTGGTCCTTGCCTGGGGCTCCTTCCATCTACAAAGAGTGGTTTAATGTCAATCTAAGGAAAAGGAGGGGAGAAAAAAAGAACTTATGAAAATAATACCAGCATGTATCTCATTTTAATCTGAGTCCTAAAAACTACTTGATGCTCACTACAAAGGAATTGATTCCTTAAATGAATGAAGCAGTCATGAGTGCTGCGTTCAGTGTGGGACTGCTGACGCTCTGAGTCATGCTTTGCTTCTTTCAGGCTCTGGCTTTTATGCTTCATTTAGGGCACCAACGTCATTAGCATTCAGAGGGCTGCTGCTTTTCCTTATTATTATTATAGTGCTGTTGTAATTTTTTCAACAATGCAAATAATATTTGGATCAGAATCAGGGCTCATGTTTTATTACCAAATCAGGGCATAGGGGTTGCTTTCATTTGACTTGCAAGCCTCAGAAGAAATTGTAAATGGAGGTAAGGTGGCTTTGTACAGTAAGGACAGGCTCTCAAGGGTTTCTGGATGCCAGTTTGCCTGCTGCTCCAGAGGGTCACCCCCTGTTAGGACGGGTGAGACTGGGTCCATCCCAGCATCCTGTGGAGAATTTATGGGAAGAAACAGCAGAACTGTGGGAATCTGCCTATGGTTTCTGTTGAGTCCACCCCCATCAAAATCCAAAGTATTGATGAATTAATAGGAAAGCACTGCTCCCTGCCTAAGGATATGCTAGGCAGGGCTGGGCTCTCCAGGAAGATGTATGAATGAGGGCTGAAAATTCCCAGCCAACTTCTTGGCACCTTGTAGCAGGGAACTTGCAGACCTTTTTTAGATACTACTTCAGGTTCAAGTTGTGAAGCCAGCAGTAATTCCCTAATGAACAAACCAGCTTGCTTACTAGATTAAAAGCAACAGTTGCTGCAAGACTGGGCAGATGTGTGTGACCTGCTCAAGCACCCTGGGCATTGCAGGTTGCATGATACGGAAGAGCAGGATGTGCAGCGCTGCCTTTGCATTGAGCTGGTCAGCTCTGGGATCTCTGCTTCCCCTGGACATTCCCTTCGCCAGTGCTCACCTGACTGCCGGCACGACATGGACCTGCAGGATGAGGTGGTGCTGCTGCCTTTTGCCGCTGCTCTGGGGTATTTCAGGGCTGCCTGCAGCGAGCTGTGCCAGGCTGTGTTTGATGGCATCTCTGCAGTGGCAGACGAACCAGCTGGCGTTGCTCTCAGAGCGTGGTGTTTGCTTAGGAGGAGCCTGTGGGGATGACAAAGCAGTTCCACTGTGTCACGGCTGGCACCGGGGCTGGTGCTGGGCACATCAGCAGCCGTGTGTGCCAGCATGAGCCGGCACAGCCGTGCTGCAGAGAAGGGACCCTGTGAGACTCTGCCCTCCTGGGGACAGACTGAGCGGCAGCAAGAAAAATGAGGGACTTTCAGGGGCAGCTGTGTTTTACTAACCCAGTCATAATGCCCCTAAAAATCCTTATTGTTCTTGCAATGGTCAACTGTGCCCTTCAGTGCGGGGAGGCCTGCAAAGGAAAGCACCTGGGGTGGCGGGGCAGGTCTGCCTTTGGGAAGGCGCGATGGCAAGTGGGAGCAGTGCTTCAGGCTGGAGAAAGAGGTTCTGCTGGAGTGGAGCTGGAAAGATGCATGGTTGTGAATTGTGGTTATGGAGCATGTACTGTGTATGAAGCTCAGGGCATGGGAGCTGCAACACAAAGGGGGGAAGTGAAACAAGCCAAGCGCTTTTCTCCCTGCTCTGTCTTGCATTCCCTGCCCCAGCTGCGTGAAATGCAACTGGAGAGAGGCACAACCCAACCCCAAAGAGAGCCCAAACCACCCCTACCTCCAGTCACAGTTGTACTCCTCTTTCAGCTAACTGCTCTAGGTCTTTGCTCATCCAGAGCACCCCTCTCTGAGCTTTATTTTCTACTCTTAATTTTCCAGATCAGCCCAGAATGCAGCAATTGCCTGCAAAGAAGCAATCTGTTAAATAGAACCATAATATTAAATTATTTGCCATCTTTATGCACTCTTAATGCTTTATTTCTGAGAGCTTCTATATATTGAGTAAAAGTTGTTATTTTCACTGAACTCTGCAACAGTGTTCAAAGCTCTTCCCTTTTAGGAACTCCACCTGGAGTTACCTGTCCATAGCCAGTCTGGCCTCACAGCACCAACAGTCTGGTTGGATTGTTACTTTTTTGGCAAGGTTTTGTTTCAGACTTTTATCAAGTTTATAAATTAATCAATATGTTTATCAATTAATTCTGCTTTATAAGCCTATGCCAATAGATTAGAAACGCATGGTTTTGTCTGTAGTGACTACATAGACTTGCTTTTACATAGCACTTGCCTGTTTTTAATTGGATTATATGGCTCTGGAGCAAGATTTACTCATTTGTTATTTGTTATTCTTAGGAGCATTTCATCTGCTTTCCTTAAAGCTGAATTCTCTGTAAAGGAGAAGTGATGAAACCCTGCAGTGAGTCCCAGGTCTCGCTGAACGTTGTGAGGATGCTGCCAAGGTGACACTGCTCCAGTGCAGGTACGGTATGAACCAGGGGCTGTACCAGCTGCTGTGCAATGTGCTCACATGAAGTCATCCTGCCATAGCTGTTGCAGAGTCCCCAGCTCCTCTGTGTAAGCAAGCCCTAAAGAACAATCCTTATCTCAGTGACTGTGACTAGATGAGACAATGGGCGCAAGAAAGGCACATTACTATCAGCTGAGGATGTGTACTGATCAACCAGCTGGGAACAAAGAAACTTGGGCTGCTCAAGGCCCCACAGGACTGTCCTGGAATGCTCTTCCCTGTGGCTGATTCCAGGAACGTTTTGGAAGTTTTGGAATTGTTTCTTTCAGGAATGACTGCTTTGAGACCTTTGATTTCTGAGGCTGCCCTATTACAGGAAGCCCCAGGCCCTCTGCTCTTCTCCACAAGGATTCCTTCATCTAGCAACTCTCATGTCCAGCTGATGCTGAAACGAGATTGAAGAGCTTGAATATTCCTTGGCAAGATGGGTGGATGGAATTCATTCCTTCTGTTCTGATCCTGATATCCGCCAATCACCTCAACTGCTAATGGGCTACTGAGCAACAACCTACTACAGTGGAATATTTTGTGCTGAAAACAGGAAGATCGGGAATGAGGGTTTGTAACTTTTTTGGATGTGTTTCTATGGTTCAGTTTTTATCTTTAGTATCACCACCTTACTCAAAATAAGAATATATGTAAAAATAAACATGTTTTTGCTTTGAAATACTGGAATACTCCTCCCCAGCTTCTTCCTATCTCAGCTCTGCCCCTGTGAAGAGAACCCACTTGTGGATTTTAAAGCCAGAAGGATGAGTCTGAGCCTCTACCGCTGGATGTGCACAGAGTAACTCCCGCAGCTCATCCTGAAGCCAGGGCCCTGATGAATGGATCTTTTCCTTACATGCTATGGGAAGCTGGCCTGTACAAATACAAATGTCTGACAGGCTGTTGCAGTGCTTTGTATCCTTGTGCCCTGCACCTCACAGCAAGCTGCAAGTTTCCAGTTGTTTCTTACACAGCCTGCGGATGAAACCCTTCATGTATGTGACTGCGTGTGGTGAACAGGAGAGCACAGCACAGGGGGTTGGTGCTATTTTTATCCCAGCTGTTCCCAAAACAGCTCTCCCAGCCAGGCAGGTCACACGCACCCCCTCCAGTTGCCACACTGCCTGTCAGAGCGGAGGGTGGGTGAGCAGAGCTCTGCAGGACACTGGGGACGTGGCCAGGGGCTGATCTGCAGGATCCCTCATGCATATCCCACGGGTACACACTGGGATAACACAGTGCAGCTCTTTAACACTTCAGGACATTTCCAGCAGACTCATGATGTGTTTCTCAGTGCCCAGGCTAAGCCTTGCATTAAGACTGCAAGAACAAGTCAAGGTTTGGGTTTTATAAGTTCAGTGTCAATTCACACCTCTAATTTGGCCTGGAAAAATGCAGTAATATCTAAAATAAAGGTGTTGTGAAAAGAACATGCAGGCATTCATGGTATTTTTCAGACTCGGTCTCAGGTGATGCCATCAGCTTCTAGTGCAGTTAACCCCTGACCCAGCCTTCCATGATGTTGCCATCCCTAGTCTAGGCTAAGCAGTATGAACATTAAAATAGACCCTACTGAAATAAAACACCCTGGTACTCACATGCACAGAATTCTTTCCCTGAAAAATGGGTAACAGCAGATGAACTAAACTTGAGCCACCATTCATGGTACTTGCACATCCTTGGAAGGCACACAGCCTTTAGCCTGGCAATAGTGTTACAAGAGTCCACAAAGAACAGACCTGAAGCAGCAAAGAGCAAAGGGTTTAGGATGAGATCCCAACAGGGAAAAGAAAAAAGTCAAATTTCCCTTCAAGTACAAGCAATTCTATGAATGTCACTTCAGGCACCAGTGTTTCGGGCTGCAAGGAGCCTCTCACTGCAGGGGACACTTTCTGTCCTGCCTGGTAATACTATCAGCTGCTTTCAGTGCACAACTGCTGTCCAGAATAGTTTAATGGGGTACACTCAATCAAAGAGAAATTGTGTGTCAGCTACATAAATGGAATAAAGCCAGTGCAGGAAATATATTTTGGAGACAAATTTGTTGCTTTCTTTTACTGAAGCCCTTTGGTACTTAGCTGTAGTTCCTCATGAGTAACTGCTTCACAGAGGAAATACAGTTATTTAGGCAAAGTTTGGTCATAATTTAAACATTTCATTTCCAGCAAGCCTGAAGAAATCCAAGCTCAAGGAACCTTTAGCTTTAGCAGCTCCTTGTTGGGCTTTATCTTTTTAGTTTGACCAGAATTGCCCTATTTAACTAAGGGAACATTTGCAGGAAAGCAGCAGTCCCTTCTCCAGTGGGATGGCTGGGCCAGCCTTCACAAGAGCTGGGCCCTGTTCTGCTTGCATTGCCTGGGGTTCAGAGCTGAATATGTGGTACTTTTTGAAAAGGAAAACCAAAACACACACACACCCCTCCCCTGCACAGTGACCAGAGACTTCCCTGAGCCTCACCTAAAGCACACAAAGTCATCAGCTGATTTAGGAGAGCTGATGTGTGCCTTTCTCTGCAACATCAAGTCTGGAAACTTTGTTCTGTCCCTGGAGGAGGACTGCTGTTCCTAACCTAGAGCCTGGCAGGCACAAAGGCCTCTTGTCACTGAGACTGATGCTGCTTGCATGCAGCTGTTTGTTTTTTAGAAACAAAACCCCAAACCATGCTCTTTTCTGCCTAGTAAGAGAAAACACTGTGGTATTCCAGGTAAATAATGTCAGGTGTAATGAATTAAATCCCACCTTGTAATTGTCAGTCATCCTCTTGCCTGTTTCTCATGGTGCCCATCAATCACCTGTGTGACAAACACAGGAGGGATCCCTGATGACTCAGGTACCTGCAAAACGTTCCCTGCCTTCTAAGTTCATATTCCTCTAAAGGTCACTGACTGTCTCTGTGTAAGCCCGGGCTGGTTCTTTAAGCACGGTAGCAGCACGTTGCTAAACAAAGAATGAAAACAGAGAAGTTCAGTGTTGTGGCAACCCAGTTTGTAAAGCAGGGCATCAGTAAGCCCATTGAGGGCCATGACTGATTGATTGGTTTCTTTATTAGTCTGCAATGAGAGATGGCAAAGAAATTTCCTCTGCACACCCCCAGACTCCTCAGGCTGTCCATGCGCCTCATGAGAGAAGCTGAGCAGTACAAGGCTTCACTGCGCTCCTCAAGCTGTGCATGAGCCATTTGTTTTCTCCTTCAACTTCCTGTGACTTTTGTTCACCATTTTAAAGGAAAAAATCAAGATAGATTTCTGGTTTCTATAGCCTATGGTTTACAAATATACTCCCAGTTCCGAGCTGATCCACTGCTGATGATTCATTCTCCCACAACAGGCTGACATCCCCCAATACATACAGCATATACAAGAGGCATTTCTAATCATTACTTAACAAGGTGGAATAGAAAAGGACTAATGATAAGTAAGTAGGGTCTAATGACATCTCCAGTGCTCCAGTACATAGGACAGGTTTTGGTCACAGCTCTTACACATTCATACAGGTTACAATATAGTCTGGTATTTATGTCTAGCAGCACAGATCTATGGTACCTGTAGTACCAAGTGTTTTTCTCCAAGATGAGAAGCAAGTCTATGGATTCTAGCATGTGGACTTCCAAGCAGTTACATCTTGCTCTTAACTGGGGAAAGGAAGCCAAAGGAAATCATGTGCATAGGAGTCAAATACCATTTTTAGGAGTGGGGACTGCATGTGTATTTCAAAAGGGATTAAAATAGCCAGAGACTAAGGCACACTAATGATTAATGATCTCTTTCTGTGAGCTGAGGACACGTCCTACAGAGTCTGGCCCTCCTGAAGTACAGTTTGGCCCAGCACATTTTAAAGGCACAAACTGGTTGGTTATTTTCCTTTACGTTGTGGATCAGCTATGTCATGTGTCTTGAATTGTTAGCTCCTGTTTCTGCAGTGTGTGATGTACACGAGTAGCTCTAACCCAGCCTGACCCAGTGAGCAGTGGTGTATCCCCACAGCCAGCAGCCCGAAGACACTGCAATGAGTGCTTGCACCATACGCTAACCCTGGTGCTGCAGCTGGGGCAAACTAGCCCAACAACTGTTTCAAACCCATTCAGTTTTTGTGACTGTCCTTGCCCACAGTCTGTAACTGTGCTGCTTCCTAACCCCTGCCTGTCCCTCCGGCCAGTGGCCACTGAGCAGTGCCTTTCCTCAGCAGGAGCAGGCAGTCTCCTCATGGAGAATCTTGCAAGTGGGGGTTATTCTTTAACCCTACTCCCCACAGGCCGGTCTCGGCAGGGTAAGGAGAGCCTGCAGCACTGCAGCAAGGCTGGCACTCTGGCTGCCTGATGATCTGCTGCCAGAGAAAGCTCCACAGGGCTGGTGCAGGCTGAAACCCAAGAGGAGGTGAGCTGGGGGCTGCTTCACGTTCCACCCGCGCTCGCTGTGTGGCAAAAAATGTCCAGGCTTAACCTCTGTGTGCCTCCCACCCCGGGCTGCACCAGAGAGAGGAGCCTCCCCTCTGGCCCAGTGGGCTTCTGCAGCTCTTAATTGGTCTGTGCTGCTAAAGAGCCTCACCATGAATGAGTACAAGGTGTTAAAGAAGGGTGCGTTAGTGGGAAAGATCCCGCAGAAACAAAGCTTGGATAGAAAACACGTGAGTGCTGAGAGCACACCCTCTCCCCAGCCCTGCTCCTCGCCCTGTCCGGGGTGATTAATGCCTTACAGACACACTGGCTGGTGTTCAGTACCTCTGCCTTGTCCTCGAGCATCCCTATGGCCTGCCAGGCCAGTGGGGTTTCGCTGCAGGAAGGAGGCCAACCGAGAAGCTGAGCGGCACCATCAGTGCAGCTGCCCTGTTCCAGCATCGTGCCAACACCACTGATGTGCCCATTAACGGTGTTTCTTTTCCTGCATAGAGAAAAACAGTACAAGGCATTACTATAAGAAAACTTGAAAATGACACAAGTGAGGGACTTCTGGGAATTCCTCAGGTTTTTCCAGCTGCAGAGGAGGGTGAAAATTGTCAGCTATAAAAATATTATAGCTTTTGCTGTTAAATCATCATTTGTCAACAGGTAGCTGAATTCCATCCAATTGTGCTGGCAGAGCCAGAACTGATTTTTTCCCCAATACTATTGTATAGTTAGCAGCTGGCAGAAAACTGGCAACCGAGGCTGTGCTGGATGAATAACCCCATGAGCCTCGGAGCAGAAGGCACAGTATCTCATGGAGCAACTGCAGCTCATGCTGGAATGTGTTGAACAAACGCTTGTTAACAATCTGTGCACAGGCAGAGAATTGCTTGATGAAAAGGTGCTGGAAAAATGTCATTTAAATAAGACACAGATTTCCTCGGGTTATCAAAAGAACAAGCCAGGGTTTATGTCTATGAATACTGAACTGCAGCAGCAAAGCAGCAAATGTTAGCATTTCTCACTCATTGAAATGGAGAGTCTGGTAATAATGAGTGAAATGTCCCAACCAGTTCTAAGATAGGAAAGGCAAGCCAGAAAGCCAACAGAGAGAGCTGGTTTTATATCGGTTTCACAGCTCCCAAATTCTGCTGGAAAATTTTCCACTCTTCCAGATGTTTTCTGGGGGAGAGGGAGAGAGATGCAGTGATTTCAAATGCTGTGCTGCTTCTAAGCTGATCAGACCACACTGCACCATCTGGGAGAAGGGAAGGTAATAAGTGAAAATGCCCCACCAGGAGATATTGCCTCGGGCTGGAGCTCAATGCCTTGTACAGCAGCGTATTACTGCCCTGTGTTCTGTATTTAACACTGCTCTGCTTTTGTCTCTGCTTTGCAGGCATTTTATTTTTACCATGGGTAAGAGCAGGAATGTGTGTGTCTGTGAGAGAATGAGCATGGGGCTGCAGGCTTCATCTCACTGCAAATAATATTTTGGCAGGAAACCTGCAGGAGATTAAATTAGGGGCCTAGTGACTGAATATTAAAACATTTCAAACTCTGAGTTCCTTTAAATAAGCAGCTACAAAACAAGGAGGGAGTCTGACAGAATTAGCAGGTCCAAATGCTAGAGGAATCCACCACGGGTCACTTCTTCACTGATGCAGATTTAGAACGACCTTTTCTATTATTTTTATTAGAAGCTGTGGATGTCTACATGCTATTTCCTCAATGCATTTTGAGTCCAGATTAGCTAAAGTTTTAGGTGTTGGCAGACTTGCTACAATGGAAGGGAAATGCCAATGGAATAACTTTAAACATGATCCAATCCCTGATGATTCATTGGATGTGTTAAAATTTCCTTTGAGACCGTGTAAGTAATGCAGGGACTGGAGTGCAGAGTGCCTGTGACTCAGCTCTCTGCGAGGCAGCAGGAGGATGTCAGAATTACTCACTGGGACAGGAGGAATCTCATTTATCTATTTATAGGCAAGGCTGAGATGAGCTTGTACCATTAAAGAGCTGAGTTTGCCAGTTCCCATAAGGGGAGGAGGAGGGAAGGACCTCACTTCAGCTGTGGAAATAAAAGCCTCGGTATCAGCATCCTTTTTCCCCCCATTTCCAAACTTGGTGACATGACCCTGCATGTAACCATCACCACGGCTGACACCCTACCCGTAAAGAAGTTATCTAGGAACACATGGCTCTGGATTGCCGATCCAGTCTCTCACTATTACAGTCCATTACATCATATCACACTTTTTGGCAAGCTATTCCAGCACTTCATTTTAAATTTCCAGCCTTAATACCATTTGTTCTTGTGCCAGCATAATAATTTAGTTTAAACAATTCTCTTTTTTTCTCTGATCTTTACCTATCAGATGTATTTACTGAAAACAATCCTATCTATCTCCTCTAGTCTTTGTTTTGAGAAACTAAACAAATGAAGCTCTTCTAGTCTCCTCTTGTTCTAAACCCTCTGATCATCCCCAGTGCCCTTCTCTGTACCCGCTAATCTTCCTTGAACATGAGTGAACCTGTATCTTCTAGGATTGTGTTTGCCTTTCCATATCAGATCAGTGGCTCACAGTTATCCCTTGGAGCAAGTAATTCTCTGTTTTTTTTCCACCACCCTGCTTTTGTCATTCGCAAGTGAGTAATGTGATATTCTGGTTATTCATTTCTAACTGCACGCCTTTCTACTTTGTCTATTCAATCTCAGACAAATTCTGTCCTTCAGTTACTGCTGATTGATCTTCTGATCCTCCTCTGTATTAACAAAGCCTGTGTCCTCAGCAAGATTCTTCACTACATTCCTACTGCTGAGCCAGAGTCATTAACGAAACAAGTAAGCCTGGCTCAAGACTGACCCTTGAGGAGTTCCACTTAGTAACTGCCTCTGTCCGGCTTTTCTCCTTTCCACAGAGCTCATTGTCATTTGCTTTCAGTTCTGCATTTGCCATCCACACTAATCCCCATCTTCTCAACTTCAGCTAGTAATTTCCCATGTGGTGTAATATCAGATTCTCGACTCAAGTCTGGATAGAGTAAATCACCTGTATTTCATTTGTCTAGGAAAAAAGATCAGTCATCAAAGAGAAATATGAGGTTAAGCTGAGCTCCTTTAATGTGCCAGTTCTCTCCAAATCCCGGGATGGAAATCTGCCAGTGCACCTTGATCTGAGCACACTGAATTCTTTAAGCTTTTCTTTCCATCTTACATGTGATAATTTTTATTCCCTTATGTATGTTCTTACTAGAAATCCTGTCTTTGCCCCGCTGTTTGATATGATCAACCCTATTGAAAATGCAGGCAAAGGGGTTTTAATTCATTTCTAGACCATATGTAGAATGGGCTAAGCTCAACCCCATTCTCACTACATAATGACCACATTTCTTCTTTTTCTGTGTAGTATTTATCTACCTGAACCTTCTGCCATCTGTTTCATTTCCTTTTCAAAGTCTGATTCACAACTTTGACATTTCTCATTGTACCCCTACATCTCCTGGCCTCAGCAAACTGAAGCTGTATGACTGAGGCAAATAACTGCCTCCAGTCTCATGCCCCACCACTCTTCTCTGATGCTGCCCTTGTGGCAAGGATGACAGAAGAGCCCATAAAGCAAGTCCAGAACTGCTGGGCTGAACACGTCACTGCAGTGCTCAGGACCTGCTGCCTAAGCTGCTTAAGTCAGCCCTGTGTCAGGGTGATGGGCTCCAGCAGAGAGCAAAGCAGGTGGTGGTTCCCTGCAGTGGTTTCAAGCCCTGTGAACTGAACATCCTCTTGCTGATCAGACCTTCTGCCCATTCCTTGCCTGCTCTCAGTTAACTCCCCCCATGCCTTTGGGGCTGGTTATCTATCCCACCAGTCTTGGAGTGTTTCCCTGCAGGGTTCGTCCTCTTGCATGTTCCAGCTAGTTTTGGAATCCAGTTTCCAACACATTCAGCTCCTCAGCCCTTCAGTGCAGACAATTCCATTAATTAGTTCCCTTAATTTCTCAACACTTGCCCTTTTTAAGATGAATATATTTGGTGTGTGACTACAGGCAGTGCTGGAGATTCAGCCCTAATGAGGTACCTTTAAAAGCTCCTGTTTCCTTACCAGAGTCTTCAGAGGCACTGGGTGACTCACAGCTTGGTGCTTTAGAGACAATAAAAGAACTGCACTTGCCTTTCTGTGTGTGTGAGACTCCATACGACCATAACACTTCTCAGTATTAACCAGCATTTTTATTATATAGACAACTGAGACATAAAGAGCTTGAAGATCACAATTCAGAAGATACTGCATTGTCCAAGGAATTAGCCAAGTGCCTAAGGTGAAGTACAAAGCTTCCTAACCCCACTGAGATCACTGCAGCAGTCCAACCTTGCTCACTTGAAAAGCAGGTGTCTGTGCCAAGCTATTTGCTTTGAATTCTGTCTACCTCTTGAAGAAAGCAAAGCACATCCAGGCTGCAGATCGCCCTATCCCAGACACACAGCCCAGACAGGCAGCAGAGGCTCAGCTGAGACTGCACAAGGCCAACATCAGACAAGAGGAGCTGTGTCCTCAAAACACTCTGCTAAAACATACTACTCACCTAAGCCCATTTAAACACCCAAAGCCCCAGCACTTACTGCCACTCAGGCTGTCTGTATCCAAAGCGGGATTTGAACCTCAGCAGTGGGCCACCGACAGACTCACCAGTTTTCCCCACTCTCTTGGAATCACTCTGGGATCCTGCCCAGGACACATCCATGCCTCACCTGCTTTCTCAGCTGCATGGCCCTTGCCTCCCAAACCAGTGTGACATTCCCACAGCACTAAGGCCATGCTGCCATTCCAGACAGGCAGAAGCTACCTTCCACTGCTCAGACCCTGTGAACGAAGAGCAAAGCACGTTTCTCTCCTCTCAGCTCCACTGATATACCTGAAAATACTTTGGAGTGGGAGAAAAATGTGCCCTTCTCCCAAAGCACATCTGCCTTGAATGCCCACTGCTCTGCTGGGCACCTACTGACCTTGACAGTGTCACAGGACTCATGTTTTTCTAAAGAGTAACCTCCTTGTGAACAGGCTCTTTGCTTTGGGAAGCACAAAGCAGGCTTGTCTTCCAAGTGTCCAAGCCTCCTTTTCACGTCTGTTTATTCCTTCACTAGCATTTATTTTTGGCCCTGAAAGAAAACCCCAACTCCACATTAAAGGGATGGTGTCCAGTTAAACCCACAGGCTGCACCACCCCCTTTGCAGGGGAAGGCAATGGAGGAGACCAACAGAAAATACAAGAGAAAAATCTATTGCCTGTTGGGCACAAAACTGCTTTTGCTTTCTAGTGAGAAGGCAGCAGGGCATCTTCAGAGCAACTGGTTAAACAGGCCAGAGCCTGCATGCCTGAGGCTTCACTGTGCTCGCAGTTAACAAGTCCATGGGCCACATTTCCATATGTACTGGAAAGCCCTTCCATTTGGGATTGCTCGGGGGAGCAAGACAGCACATTCCATAATGTCACACTCTGTGGTGGGTCTAACTCTTTGGCAATCCCAGACTTTACAACATCACCTATCAATGACAGCAAATCAGAAAAACACCCTTTTGAGCCCCTCTACACTGATCCAGCAGCCCTTTTGGCTACTGGAGAGAGGACAAGGCTTCTTATGCTGTGGGAAAGAGCTTAGGAGGGGCTGCAGGTGATGGCTGCCTCCTGAGACCAGTGCCAGCTGTGCACACACTCCTTCCCTGCTCAAGGCTAGTGCTAAGCCAAACAAAAGCATTTAGGCTACCAGTGGATTATCACTCACCTGTTTGACTTTGCAGAGAAGTGCTCACAGGTCCAGTGCCACCTCCATGCCTGTCACCTCCCAGCAGAGAACTGCAACTGTGTGTGGCCCAGTGCAGCTGCAGAGAGGCCATCGAAGGGTTCATGAAGCTGAAGTCTGAGGCATAAAGTTCAAGGCAGAGGTCCTGTGCTGAGAGTGTGTGTGGTCAAGACCTGCATTCCTTTGGGGAGAGGCAGAGGAGGAGAGCTGGACTGCATCAGGAACTCTTTGGACTGGATCTGCAAGAGGAAACAAGCTCAGTTTAGCAACAACTGCATTTTGGGCCACCCATCAGCATTCAGCATCCCATGCCAAGTAGCTGTGCTCCCCTTCTATAACACAGTGACTGAGTTGGGCACCTGAGAACAAAGTTATTAAACCACCCTGCTCTCAAGACCTAGTGACAGCAACCACAGCCCTGTTCACTGAAGTCAATAGGACTCTGGCCACAGGCCTTATTTCTCTCCCTCCTACATTCAATACCTACCTTTTAGGTCTATTGGCTCCCATGAAATTACAGCTGTCAGGTTTTGGATGTCCATGAGGCCATGCCTGGGTCAAAAGAAATGGAGTAGCAACACTTGGACATGACAGAAACTGAGACCTTGGGAAAGTCTGGGTCTGCCTTGCACACATAGCAAGTTAGCAGAATATTAATGACACATCACTCAGAGTAAGTGCCTCTGGATGCTTGGCTGACTTTGACAAGGGGCACTTTGAGAAGAATGAAACTGCATTTTCATTGCTGAACTCTTCCTCCAGTACTAAGATGTGTCCCATGGGATGCTGGTAATATCCTGGTAGTGTCTGCAGAGAGCAGCAAGGGGCGAGGGTCTTACACTGCTAAACTGTATATGCCAAACACCCCTGAATATCACAGTCCAGACCCAGGATTTGCAAGCACAGAGACACTCACATGTAGGATGTCCTCCAAATAGCCCATGAATCTAGAAAGAGAGAGAAAAAAGGATTTTGTATTCTTTCCTTTGCGTATAAAACATCATTAAAATAATTAGAAAACTAGATGCATTGTATCAGTAACTGACAAATTAAGAATTCAGTCAGGGTTGTCGAGGAACCCACAGTGTCCCTGCAATACCAATAATGAGTATTTATAGCCTACTACGCAAGGAAAGCATCCAGAAAAGCTGACTGATTAGAATGTAATACAGTCATTCCAAAGGAGAAGTCTAGTGCAAGGTGCAGGCAGCCAAGATCACACCATTTTCTTGTCTTTAATTATAAACCCCATTGTTCCTGTTCATGTACTTTGTACAGAATGTCTCAGTTCCTCGGCAGCAAATAACCATTTTATTCCTGCTGAATTTCACTGAAGTTACCAGATTTATACTTAAGCTGAGAGGCAGATCCATATTCCTGCTTTATATATGAATCTCTCAGGTGCCTATTCACAGGGATGTGCAGCTTGGCAAAAGAATGACTTGACAGAATGAGCTGAGTGGCAGGGTAGCTGTTAGTCTTCATGATATTACCAGAGCATCCGGAGAAGTTCATGCAGTACTAACACAAGTATGAGCTCTTGAAAAAGCTAACAAGGGAAATAATACACAGAGGGTGGGAAGGAAGAGCCACAGAAAAGAGAAGTAGCCATACAACATCACATAGCAGGGGCAGGATCAGATCCCTGTCTCTCAGGCCTCTCCAGCTCCATGTTACCTTTTGGTCTTTCCTGTTTCTGCTTGTGGATGTGATGCACCTTAGACAGAAGCTCAGTTAAGTATTTCTTTTCTTATTTGTCAAGAGCAGCAGCTTTCTGTTAGTTCTGCCAATAAATTCTTTCCCGTGATTAGTACCTGTCTCCTGTGCTGAAGACATCCGTCTCTCATGGATCAAACCCTAACAAAGCAAAGCTCTCTTCTTCGAACAGAACGTGTTTTCCATCTCTCCTGCTAACATTCCTCCTCACAATTGCCCTTGTTTAGCCCTATGATAATTTTATGATGCAGTCCCAACATAACTCACAGTACTTCCCATTATTGTGTGCCACAAGTGTTTACAGAGCCATTTTTGTGGTAGGCACCAGCCTTTAGACGTTCCACATTTCCTGTTTCACTGCAGCCTATCACACGCTGCTCAGTACTGAAATGCAAGTCCCTGATTAATTTATACACAGCGAAGCACTTCAGTCATTGCAATGATAATGTAATGGAGAGCAGCCCATTAGCAAAACCTGACTATACCTAACTGGACAAATGATTTTCTTTTCATGTTTCCCTCTGTATTAAGATCCATTCATCATCTTTCAAAAACCCCTACCCTGATCACAAACTGCCTTCACACTTTTCCACTTGTACTACATGGGATAACTGGGCCACCCTTCCTTGCTTCCCCTCACAGCAAGGAAACCTCTCTGACATGCACAGAATTGGGTTTCATCACGCGTGGGACTTCACAGCTGGTCCAACTCCACTAATATTCTCTTTATAGCATCAGAATATAATAGCCCAGTTTTAACAATAAGAAATCAAGATTCAATTCAGGATGTTCTGAAGGAGTGAAAATTCCTAGCAACAGTTGAAAGGGAAGTGGAATTCATAAATGCCTCTTTCATCTTTATCAAATTACTCTTCAATGCAGTTACATTTATTAATAACAACATCCCTTAAACCACATTGTGAAACTCCATTAGCAAGAAATGCTTAAAAATGTTCAACAGGCTGTAACTGATGATTTATCAAAAGCTAAAACAATTACATACTATAAGCAGAGTGGGCATTTTTATGGGCTGAGAAGCTTGCCAGATGCTGTTATGATATATTCAGAAATGGACTGTTTGCATGGCGTAACTCCACTTTTTCTTTCATTCCATCACCTACATTAGCTACGGGTCATGCAAGCTAATAGTATTTTCACTTCCGTATCTACTCACCCCTAAAAATGCTGATGGTCATTTCAAAGTCATCACTTGCAGCATCTGCTCTGAGGTACCAGGCTGCTGCTCTGAATGGGGATCAGAGAGAGGGAACCTGTGAGCAGATCGCTGCTCGCAGAGGAAGCCCTGTCTCACTGCACCAAACCCTAACAAGAAAAGCCCTTTAAGAAGCTGTTTAACTACCCCCATGAGGGTCAGACTTCCCACAACTGACCTGGGAGCCACTGTTTTCCCTTTCAGCACACCCCCCTTTCCCCTGCAAGTTCACGTATTCCCCTCTTTCATTTCTTCACTTGTGTTTTTAAAGCTCAGTTTAAGTGTCACTCACTGTTGAGAGATCACTACGGAAGCACTAGGTACTGAGACTAAATTCAGGTGAGGAGTTTTGTCAATCCTCACACAACACACGGCCAGGCCTGGCTGTTGTTCCTGCACCACAGAAGGGTCGTTTGGGTCCCGGGGGTTGTTACACATGGGCTGACTGCGTTGTCCTTCTCTCAGTTGCTTCCAGTTTGCAGCAGAGAACAATAATGGCACAGAGAGCTCGGCACCGCTCCGTGCTCATTCCCTAGCCGTGACTGTACCCATCAGCCTCCCGCTGCAGCAGCGTAAGGAGGGTTTTGATGACATTCTCTTTGTTGCTGCAGAAGGCACAGCCCGAATTGGGGATTACAGGGAGAAGCGAGGGGAAAGGGGCAGGAGATGCAGTCGCAGCAGGAAGAAGTGAAACAGCAGCTCTGGAGTCTCAGTCCACTTTGTGGGCTGCATTAAGGGTTTGCTTACTTGCTGACAGATCAGCCTATGCAGGTTCTCCTCCTAGATTTGATATTCCCTAAATCTATTAAAAGATGCCAAGGCAGGGTCAGATGGTTTCTGAGGCACACACAGAGCAGCCCAAATGCAGTCCAGTCCCTCTAGAATGAAAAGTTCTTTGCACCTTTAAGCTCTATGCTTAATTCACCCCAGGGCAACAGACCTGTAACGCAGGTGACCCTGTTCATTTGTTGGGTTTCACGTAGGAAGGTGAAACAGTGACAGAATAAATCAGTGGCAGAATGTATCTCGTGTAGTCACACACAAGCCAATTTGTAGCGTGTTTTCAGTCCCAGGTGAGACCCTTGACTGAGCACAACTAGAAAACACGTTAGTACATGGGCCAGAGCACAGAGATCTGCAGCTACAGCTGCCTGGTGCTTACCTGGTGAAGTGCAGCACACGGGAGGGAAAGAAGTTAGGAATGAAGTGCACATTCTCACCCCACTGCATCCCTGCTGCAGAGCTTGTGGCTTGCAGGCTTGGGCAGAGCCAAAGGCTGAAATTTCCCAGGTGTAAAGACAGATTGTGTGGCATGAAACATTGAAAACTGGATGTCAGTGCTCGAGCTGGTGGGTCCAACTTGTCCAGCCAGATGAAAGCAGTCCAGACCAATGCTGGTGAGACAATACTTGGCATCTCACAGGCACAATCATTCTTCACTGCAACATCCCCCTCCTGGTTTGTTTTCTGTTTTCTCTGTTGCTGACCTCCAGCGATGGAGGAAAGGGGCTGGAGGTGGAGAGGAAAAAGAGAAGGCAGTGGATAGTGCTGTGAGCAGGAGAGGGGCCTGGAGGAATGGGAAAGAGAGGGAACAGCTGTGGGGCTGGGAGGGAAATGGAGACAGGGGAATGAAACAGATACGCTTCCCCTTTGGGAGGATGGGCCGAGCCAGTCTGAACAAAAACGGGCTACAATGAAAGGGAGGAAACCAGAGAAGAGAAGAAAGATGGAACAAGGGAGATCACAGAGAACAACAGGAAGCAGTGCTAAGGGGACAGAGATGAAGGCTGGGGCTTTTTGGGGAAAAAGCAAAGGGAAAAAAACCTTCAGGAATATTGTGTAAAAGACATGGAATAATAAGAAAAAGCCCTATGAAAATGCCAGCTACCCAGCTGCTGTAAGTGAAACTCCAGCACACTTCAGTCAACACCACACACTGATCAGCACCAGGGGAGGAGGTTTGGGGCTGTTTTCTAATTGAATGGAAAGCCTTTCAGCAGCACAGAACACGAACTCCAGCTTCCACTGAAGTTGAAGGGCTTTAGAGGTGCTTACAGCCACAGAAAAACAAGACCCAGCCTGATAAAGCCCAGGAGACAGGATGCTACATTACAACCTTGAGAACAACCAGCTTGTCACCCTGTCTTGACTTCTACCCCAAGACATGGCGTGGTAACACCAGCACATGGGGAGGGGGCAAATGGCAGCCCCTGTGCCAACAGCCACTGCCGGGCTCTGCTGACATTGGATTGGCTTTGGCTTTGTGCTCCCTGATGAGCACTGAGCTCCTTGATTTACATATCTAAGCTTGGGCTGGGTAAGAGGCATCCGCTTTGCTGGTTGAAGTGAAATGTTTGGCTTATTGGCATGGCTTGTTTGATTTGGCTCTTAGTGCTCAGTCGGTGTTATGAGAGAAAGCAATAAGAACGCATTAAATACTAGGAAACTACATTAAAACAACATGGAGCATGCAGTCCAAACCAAGAAAAGCAAGGGGGCTGAGTATGGAGGCTGCCATTCCCTCCTTCAATCATCCTCCACTACATGAATATGGAGAGTGTTATTCTGGAGAGGTGGAGGGCTGGTGGTCACCGCATAGCTGGGCAGTGTCGGATCTGTATCCAAGGTTGGCTCCTTCCCCCAGTGCCAGCGTGGCTGCTGAGGTCCAAAGTGGGGGCATTATCTAGCTCTGATGCAAGCTGACAGTTCCAAAGTACCGAGTTCCCAAAACTGAAGGCTCTGTCAGATTTTGCTTTAGTGCAATCTCCCCAGAGAAACACATGTCCATCCTCAGCCGTTTGCCCCTTCAGTCTACGTAAACTATCATTAAGAGAAGTCTGTGCTCCACTGCTCACCTAAAGCGTTCTTCCTCTCCAGGTCTGTGGATTGTGTGCTGTATGCAACCTGTGTTAGGCTGCAAGTACTGACTGGATTGTCACAGATGTTGAATTTAATTCATCATCTTCAAATCCTAATTCAGCTCAGCAACACATGTTCATCCACTGCTATGGCTCATTA